TGATGATATGATTCTGTACCTTGAAGACCCAAAAAATTCCACCAGAAAACTTCTAGAACTAGTAAATGAATTCAGTAAAGTAGCAGGATATAAAATCAACACCCATAAATCAAAAGCATTTCTGTGTATCAGTGACAAACCCTCTGAAAGGGAAAAGAGGAAAACTACCCATTTACAATAGCCTCAAAAAAATAAATAAAATACTTGGGAATCAACTTAATAAAAGAGGTGAAAGACCTCTACAATGAAAACTAGAGAACCCTAAAGAAAGAAATTAAAGAAGATCTTAAAGATGGAAAGATCTATCTTATTTTTGGACAGGCAGAATCAATTTTGTCAAAATGACCATACTACCAAAAAATCTACACAGATTTAATGTAATTCCAATGAAAATCCCAATTATATTCCTCATAGAAATAGAAAAAGCAATCATGAAATTCATCTGGAAAAATAAGAGACTCAGAATAGCCAAAGCAATCCTTAGCAAGAGTGAAGTAGGTAGCATCACTATACCAGACCTTAAACTATAGTATAGAGCAATAGTAACAAAAACAGCATGATGTTAGCACCAAAATAGATCTATAGACCAATGGTACAGAATAGAGGACACAGAGACTAACCCACAAAATTACATTTATCTTATATTAGACAAAGGCGCCAAAAATGTACATTGGAGAAAAGATAGCCTCTTCAACAAATGATGCTCAGAAAACTGGAAATCCATATGCAACAAAATGAAATTAAACCCCTATCTCTCACCATGCCAAAACTCAACTCAAAGCGGATCAAGGATCTAGGAATTAAGCCACAGACACTACATCTACTAGAAGAAAAATCAGGCCCAAATCCCCATCATGTCGGATTAGGCCCCAACTTCCTTAATAAGATTCCTATAGCACAAGAACTAATATCAAGAATCAATAAATGGGATGGATTTAAACTAAAAAAACTTCTTCTCAGCAAAAGAAAAAAACATCATCAGTGAGATGAATAGAGAGCTCCAATTTGGGAACAAATTTTTACCACATGCACATCAGACCACTAATCTTTAGGGTATATAAAGTACTCAAAAATCTTAACACCAAAAAAATAAATAACCCAGTCAATAAATAGGCCAGGGAACTCAACAGACACTTCTCAGAAGATATATAACCAATCAACAAATACACAAAAATACATATTCAACATTTCTAGCAATTAGAGAAATGCAAATCAAAACTAATATCATCTCACTACAGTCAGAATAGCAGCTATTATGAAGACAAACAACAATAAGTGTTGGCAAGGATGTGGGGAAAAAGCACATTCATACATTGCTGGTGGGACTGTAAATTGGTGCAGCCAATATGGAAAGCAGTATGGAGATCCTTGGAAAACTTGGAATGGAACCATCATTTGACCCAGCTATCCCTTCTCCTCGGTCTATACACAAAGGACTTAAAAACAGCATACCAAAGGGACACAGCCACATCAATGTTTATAGCAGCACAATTCACAATAGCTAAACTGTGGAACCAACCTAGATGCCCTTCAGTAGATGAATGGATTAAAAAATGTGGCATATATTCACAATGGAATATTATTCAGCAATAAAAGAGAATAAAAATCATGGCATTTGCAGGTAAATGGATGGAGTTGGAGAAGATAATGCTAAGTGAAGTTAGCCAATCCCCAAAAAACAAATGCTTAATGTTTTCTCTGATTTAAGAATGCTGATTCATAATGTGGTTGGTGTGGGGGTAGGACATGGGTAGATTAGATGAACTCTAGATAGGGCAAAGGAGAGGAAGAGGAAGGGAAGGGGCAGGAAAGTCAGTGAAATGAGATGGACATCATTTCCCTAAGTATATTGTATGAAGACAAGAATCATGTGACTCTACTTTGTGTACAACCAGAGATATGAAAAATTGTGCCCTATATGTGTAATATGAATTATAATGCATTCTGCTGTCATATGTAACAAATTAAAATTTTAAAAAATATTAATTTGAAAAAAAAATCATGAGGGATTGGGGTTGTAGCTCAGTGATAGAGCGCTTGCCTAGCATGTGTGAGGCCCTGGGTTTGATCCTTTGCACCACATAAAAATAAATAAACAAAATAAAGGTATAAAAAAAATCATAGGGCTGGGGCTGTAGCTCAGTGGCAGAGCACTTGCCTAGCATGTGTGAGGCACTGGATTTGATCCTTTGCACCACATAAAAATGAAACAAATAAAATAAAGGCATGCTGTCCATCTACCAAAAATAAAAAAACCTTTTTAAATCATGAAAGTTTGTTTCATCCCTGATTATAATATTTACATCCCATATTACATTGATTTAAGCTAAAAAGAAACTTTACCAATAAGTTAATTTTTAAATTACTTTTTATTGTGGAGACTTTCAAATATGCACAAAGATGGAGAGACCAGGCAATGAATCCCTATATATATATTCCAGCTTTAGCAAGTATCAACTTGTGGCCAATTTTGTTTTGTTCATTCCCCCACTTCCTCACTTCTCCCTTGCATTACTTTGAAACAAATCCCATACATCATGCAATTTCATCTGTAAAATAAATTCAGAATAAAGTTATGGATAACTTTTATTAAACTATTTTTTCATATATGTAACCAGAAGTTTTTAATATCTAAAAATGAACATATTGGCAAATTCCCTAAATAAATTTCAGAAAGGTAAGTCATAAGAATAACTATTTAGACGTCTGAATTTGCATCACTATCTTTGATACCCAGGCCACATCCATCCCTTCACCTCTCAACACATCCACTTCTTTGTGTTTCTTCTGTTCTAATCATGTGAGATCCCTCTTGCATTTTAATCTGACCTTGCCACTAAATAAATGGCTAGGTGCCCAAAAACAAATGATATACTTTTTTCCTGATTTGGTTTCATCTACTATTAAATGGGTTGATTATCTCCCCTGGAAAAAATAATATGAAGGTAGCTACAGTAGTTGTCATAAAAAGTGTGCTGCTGCAAATAATTCACAGGAAAAAGATACTAAACATTTCATTTGAATGTTTTAATCTGAAAGAAGAAACTTAAGCTTTATTTATATTTATACACAGGTTGATACTGGAGCCTTCACATGTTCTGTATGCCATGTAATTAGAAATGAATTTCTTTTCATTTATCATCTTGAGATTTTTGTTCCTGAATTTTAGGATTCATATCTCTCATTTGTTCTGGGAAAGCTTGGGCCATTATTTCTTTGAATAATGAAAAATAATGTCTATATCATTCCCTTAAACTCCCATTTTGGAACTCTAACACAGACTAGTGCTGCTTACTCTGCCATTTATGTGTCTGAACTAGTCCTTAATATTTTCCAATTCTTCATCTTTCTATATTGCAAGAGTAACATATCTATATCAGGAGCATTTTCTCCTATATATTTAATAGTATATATTAAGTCTACTTTTGGTTGTATCTCCCCACTTCCTCTTTTTACCTCATTCACTGAGATTTTTTCAAAATAGATTATCATATTTTTATTTCTAGGTTCTATTTGTTTCTTTTCTAGAACTACTCAGGTCTTTTTTAAAGTAGTCTTTATACTTTCAATATTCTCTTTATTCCTTTAATCATATTATGCTATTGTGTTTAGTAGAAAACATTCTAATTTTATAGTCTGTACACGATACTTCTACTACTTGAAGTCTTTATAGTGTCTGCTTGTTTTTATTTGTTTCATTCTTTATGTTTCCTCTCACTAGTGAGACCTTGCTTTTTCATGCGTTGGTAGCTTTTTAGCTCATATTTGATCAAACTTGATTTCTGGGAAATTTTTCAGGCCCATACCAATGAATATTCCTCCTTATTCCTTGGGATACTAGCAACATGACACCATTTTAAAATATATTGTAAGTTAGAGTTTTTCTGGATTGCACAAATACCAACTTAGGGATCAAAACCATGAGAAGGTGGTCAATGAGTGCTAATAATTCTTAAAAGAATTTTTTTTTCCTAAACTGGGCCAATTTTAAAGGAGCGTGTTTTCTCACTGTGTCTCTTTTTGCAAGACAGATTTTAATTTTTATTCTCTCTTCATTTAGGGTGTAGCCCTCTGATGTCCTGATTTTACAAAGACAGGGTCTTTAATTCTTTAGTCCACCATGTATGAACTCAGATCATTCCTCTTCCACAACTGAGTGTTACAACTGAAACACCAGGTCAATAGAACTAGGTAGAGTCTCCTAAGCAAAATGCACCTCAGTGTCCCCTACCTCTTAGTATCCCTGATGTGCCCTCATTTGGGGCCCCCAGGGATATATCCCTTTTCTTGCCATATCAACGACAGATTTTTAAGCTATATGATTAGTTCATAACCGAAAACCTTAAAGATTATTAAGTTAGTATATCCAACACCTGGCCTTAGTTCCTGGTTAAAAAAAGAGAGGGGAAAATCACTCGAAAAGTGGTTTCAATTGGCTCAAGAAGGAGCTCAGTGATAGAGCATTTGCCTAGCATGTGTGAGGCCCTGAATTCAATCCTTAAAAAGAAACAAACAAAAAAAAAGTAGTTTCCTTTCAAGTTTTCATCTAATTCTGCCTCTGAAGTAAATATGAAACTCAACAAATGCCTCATGAAATAGAGGCCTGGTGATTCTCAATTAAAAGTATAAGGTATTGGTGGGGAGTCCAGCGGATCTAGGAGGGTTCTTTTGATAGCACTTTGCCTCACATTTAAAACTATTGCTAAAGAGCACTATCAGCTGTCAGTGATCTGCATGGTAAGAGCTGTGAACCAGAACCAGTGCTAGCACAGGCTGTTCAGAACAGGGAAGGTGAGGGGCCTATAAGGGGAGCCCAGAGCCAATCCTTGTTTCAAAGTGAACGTGAGAATTTAGTTTTTTCAAGGTTTGGAAAAAAAAAAACACTGTAACTAGATAAAAAAGAATCACATGATTTGATTTATACAAAGTATTGCATTTTGGAAGGAAACTCACATTTTCTTCCACCCTTCTCCCCTCCAAAGCACATAGACTCTTCTCACCTGATGCTATTTGTGCAGAAAGTGTTCTTAAGGGGGTCATTAATGTAAATGGTGCGGACTTTTAACACTTCTGAGCTTTGCAGAGATTGTTGGCAGCCCATCCTTTTCTCCACCTTCTGATTACCCAAGGAAAAATGACTAGATCCTGCAGCAAGAAGAAACAGGGACATAATGCAGAAATGCCAAGGCAGATACACTCATGCCTTCAGTTCTGTAATGTTTAAGCACAGGATCTATGAAAAATTAATACAGCTCTTTGCCCAAAATATGAGAGACAAAGGACAAAGGAAATTGCTTTCACACTTCAAAACAAATTACAAAGCAGCTAAAAAATAATGGAAATAAGACATTTCCTTTAAAAGAAATTAAATATAGGCATTGTTGGCATTATTAAATGAGAGCTCAAGAAAGACTCATTTTTTAAGTTGATAATAAAACTGGAGAAAGGCTTTTTAAATGATCTGAAAGAGCTGTGAAAAGAAATGAACAATACAAATACTTCAAGAAAAGGAAAACCACATAAGATGCAACTCAAATAGTAGACAGATAAAAAGAGGAATGTGTTGCATAGACTATAGAAAACTAAGTAAGATAATATGAAAAGAGCAAAGAAGATTGGAGAACAATTATAGGTGTAGGACAAAGGATATCCAATCGGTGCATGTTTGTTGTCCTTGAAGAAGAAACAAACAAAAAATTCAAAGACATGGTAGAATAAATTTTTCATTAAAGGAAGACATTTTTATGAGAACAATGTAACTCAGGAAAACGGGATTTAAAACAATCAATGCTAAGGCCCTTGTTAGTAAAGTTATTAAATTTTAATAATGAAAAAAATTCTTAATCAGGAAACCATTGAAGTTTTTACAGAAATTGGAGGGAGAGTGAATATAAAAGCCACACTGAGACTGTACCACAAACTTTCAAGCTACAGGTAAGAAATCAAATATCTTACCAAGAGATGAATGAAATGAGTCTGGTAGAAAACTGATTTTTTTTAAATACAAAAACAAAACTTTAGATCATGAGTGAGCATTAGGACCAATCTTTCTACTGAAATGACTTTAAATGCTATGTTTTAAACACTTTTAAAATCCTTGAATAGTCAAGATAGTATCTACCATCAAGCCAAGATTTATTCAGAAGTAAAAATCTAGAGAAGCAGGCTCATCCTAAGTGGCTGTCACACACCATATTTGAGAACCTGGATGGACTCACATCTGCAAGCTTGGGCAGGCTAGACCATCTGTCCATTGGCTCAGTTAAGGCACTCAGCAGTTCCCTGGACCTGCCACTGCTATCCTGAGTTCCATATCTATTTAAATAGACAGTTTGTGAAGGATGGGCTCAGCTGCTTCCTGCACAGAACAGAAGAGCTTGGTCCCACACCACCAGCCATGGACAGCTCACCTTCTTATATATGAAGCAGATTAGGAACAGCAAGGCACAGGCATATGCAAACTTCAGTACATACAACAGGTTGCTCCTCTCAGAGAGAGAGATGACTCCTACCAGCAGAGGGCTCTGGGCAGCTCCTACAGACCCAGAGATTGCATGAGAGTTCCCTTTCAGACGCTTATGAGTCCCCAGGTTGGCAGAGAGGATGGTGGTGATTAGTACCTTCAGCCCCCTGCCCAGGCCCCTGCTAAACACCAGAATGGCTACAGTGTCTTCTAGGCCCATCTTGCTGATGATGGAGTGAAGATCCTGGCCACATTGAACAAAATGGAGAGCTTTCCTGCTTTTTTGACATTAAGGTGATCTACGCTGGTGATGTACGACGGAAGCCAAAAGAGGAAAGTGAAGCTGACCTGCTCAGCAAACAGCACAGAGAGAACTCCCACACCAGGGATTCTCAAAGGCCCAAGTGAAGCTGATGAGGGCCAGGAAGTTGCTGCTGTCACCAGGGAAAACAACCACATAACTTGGGCATATGGGACTCTTCCCCTAGGACAGTAGTAAGCACTGCATCTCTGGGTCCAGGAGCCTGTTCCTTTCACTGTGTAAGGTTGGCTTCTAGAGTCCACATCTGTTTGTTAGATTCTCATAGCCTTTTGAAAGTGTAGACAGGGAGGAGGAGCATCTGATGTCTTTCAGATGTTGGATGAGAAATAGAAAGCACACTATTCCCATGGCTGCCATGATGGCCCCAGGCACAATGAAAGACAGGTCCCAGCATAGGAACACCCAGTAGCCAGCAATCAAGGAGTCCAGAATATTGCCCGCCTAGGTGTGGCATTCCATGAGCTCACCTTCCTTTTCCAGACCTGCTTCTGAGGCAGGTGAGGAGCCTGGTGGTCTGCACCAGTGGATTAATGATCTGAGTTACCACATAAAATCCACAACTATGGATATTGTAGAAATACCCCAATACAAACAGGGTGGTTAAGGGCCTGGCCAGCATCTCAAACATCAGATAACACCTAATCACAGGCAGTTCCCCTATTATGCTGCTCAGGTACATCCCAACAACATCAGCACACAAGGGGGATTAATCCAAGGCGCCAAGCAACTGCTTATAGTTCTCAAATGGGGGCCAGCCATGGCGAAGGGAACTGCATGATGCTCTTGGTTGGGCCACTGAATCTGCCTCATCCCTAGCAGCACCCTTAACTATGCTGACTCACTTTCAAGATAAGTGAAAACTTTCATACACTGGGGGGGAAACAATCAAAATGAAAATGAAGATTCTGTAGCCCAGATCCCTGGAGGAGACAATGAAGCGTATGCCAGGGAGGAGTTGAGCCATTTACTTGGAACTTCAGTCATAAAATAAGATGCTTCATCTTATTATGGATTATTGTTATTTTTTTTCTTCTGAAGGTTTATTTTGGATAAAATAGTTGAAGACAGATTACAATGATATATTGTACAAAAAGACTATAAAATAATTTAAGAGAGAATTTTAAACATAGGGTTCTAACACATTCATAAGTGGATATGCCTCCTATCCTGCAGGGGAGGGCTGGTAGCCTCTGTCTACGCCCAACAAGCAGAGTGCTTCTTCACAAAAAGGGCTCTTCAGGTGTGATGATCCAACTCTCCCTCTTGCAAAAGTGTTTTCTCCATCAAAACAACCAAGTAACACCAATACTTCTACTTCTGCAAATCTTCCCTAGCAGTTTGTTGAAAGTCTATTATCTATTAAGTCAGCTACAAGGGATGGCTTTATCAAGCTTTTACTTTATTAGGCCATACTTTGTTTCTTTGTGATTTTGTTGTTGAAAACTTGACATCTGAAGCTTATATGGTGACTCTGAAGCAAACACTCCGTTAAATGCAGAAATACTATCTACTCAAAATTATAGTATCATGAAGTGATTAAAATTCCCCACACCTATATATGGTTATCCAGTTTTCAGGAAAGAAAGAAAGAACTTTAGTTACTTCCACTGTCTTTTCAGTTACTAGATCATGATTCCAATTTCATGAAACCAAACCAAGAATCAAACAGTAACACTCTAGGCAACCATGTCAACTAAAAAGGATGCTATCTCCTGTCCTTTTTACCAGCTTTCCTCTTTCCAGAGAGTAAGTGCTTGGGCTTTATATCAAACACATGTCTATCTGCCTCCCCTTTCTTCCCCAAGCGATTCATCTTCTTCTGAGCATTCTTCATCATAGTCTTGGTTTTCTTCACCATCTTGACATCCCGAAGACCAGAAACATCACGTGGAGGTCGAGAGCAGCTCCTACTCCAGGCTACAGAAGAGAGAGGAACAGATTCTTCCCGCTTTCTCTTCCTAGTGACACTCCGAGATTTTCTTGCCTGGACTGCATAGTGGGCATTGACTTTATCATTCATGTCAACACCAAGACTACGCATCTCATTTTCCAAAACTGTCCCCTGAACCTTCTTAGCAGTTTGAGGCATCCTAGGTCCCTGTGTATCCTTTTCCTTTGATTGTAGGATTTTCAGCTTCTTTTTTTTCTCTAATTTGTTTTGCTAGCTGTCTGATTTCCATCATTTCCTCATCTTCACTATCATACTCCCCCACAGCTGTTCTTAGCTCTTCTTCTTTTCCTAACTCTTCCAATTTCTTCATGATGGCAGGATCAATATAATCAGCTACATTATGGCCTTCCCAGATCTCTGGTATCTTATCATATTTTTCAGATGAATTCATTAAATCCCAGTATTTTTGAAGATCCAAAATATAATCGTCTCCCATTTCCAGCTCAAGATCCCGTTCCCTTTTCTTCTTGGGCTCCCCAATTTCCATTCCCCTCTTGCATGCCACTACTCCTTCTGGGATGAAAGGGGGACTCTCCTTATCATCTCTCTTGTTAGGCACAGCTAAATGCAACCTGTTCAGCACATCATTCACTTTGTTTCCTTTCATTTTTGTTTCCACTCGGTGTGCCAAAAGCCTGTCACAAGCCTCTGTTTTAACTTTAATAACACCTTCCTCAGTCAGGGTACTGGTCTCTATTACAGGGAATCCTTCTGCTTGCAAGTCTACAAATATTTTCTGATCATCTTCAGAAAGTTCAGCTATTTGTTTCACATCACATTTGTTTGCTACAATTACAAGAGGTTTATTGATAAAGAGAGGTCTGATATTCTGGAAAAGTTCTAATTGCTCTTTCAGCCCGTGTCTACACTGTTCAGACAAGTCCATCACATACAGAACCGCAGCTCCTCGAAGGTGCGCCAGGGCCATGATAGCCTGCATTTCGATGGTGTTCGGATCCTCCAAAGGATGATCCAAAATCCCTGGAGTATCTACAACCTGCCAACGCAGATACTTATAATCCATGTGCCCAACAAACAGAGACTTGGTGGTAAATGCATAGGGCTGAACATCCACATCTGCTCTCGTCACCTTATTAATGAAGCTGGATTTCCCAACATTTGGGTACCCACACAAAAGCAGAGTCCTTGTATTTGGGTCAATGGTTGGCAAGCGGGATAAATTTAAATGCTGACGCACTTGTTCCAGATATTCCAAACTCTGCCTCTGCCGCTTGATAATGGTGCACATTCGCCCAAGGGCAGCACGCTTCAGCTGCTTACAGCGGTAGAGAGAATCACCGTACTTCATAAGCCGTACATAATCTTTAGCAACATTGTCCACTAAATTTTTGGCAATATTAATCTGTCCTAGAGCCAACTTGTAATGATCCTTGTCATACAGAATATTCATCAAATCAGCATAAAATGGATGGATATCATCCAATTTGGGAAAATCTGTTACAATCTGTGAGAGTCTGTCATGGTAATTCTGCTGAGTAAATTTGACTTTTCTCATATAAAAATGTCTAATGCGATGAATTTGGTAATGTTTATGAATCACTGTTGGAGTCTTTCGTTGAGTCTTCGATAATGTCAGGTCGATAAAGTCCTTGGAGGACAGCACCACCGTAATCTTCTTGAAGTTGTAGTGCGCCATGCTGGCGGCGGGTTGCAGGAGGAGAATTATTGTTATTTTTATCATCTTATTATGGTTATGGATCCTGGCTCAGGCCCTGTCTCCACCGACACCACCTGGAAGCCACAGGGCCAGTATGCCTCTTGATCAGGTCCCCATCAGTTCTGGCATAGGGCCTTGATCTCACTGGGGAGGCTCACGCACCACTCACACTCCGCAGGCAGCAACTCCAAGCTCAGAGGTTCCACAACCCTTTCACTTTTCTGGTGTTCAGAGTGCTGGGGGCCCAAAAGCATCCCTCTTCCCCACAAGGGCACAGAGTTTTGAGATGATGAAAAAGTTCTTGCAGTAGACAGTGATGACAGTTACATTAGTGAATGGGCTTAATGTCAATGAACTGTATACTTAAAAATGTAAAATGGAAATTTTTTTATATATTTTACCCCAATAAAAAATATTATGAGATATTAAACAGTGTTTAGGGACAGAAAAATAAACCAAGGGAAAGCAAGAAATATGCAGTATATATACCTAGATCAGGTAAGCCATGAGTGGCATTTCAAAATAATAGGAAAAGAATGTGTCATTCTGCAAATGATGCTGGAATAATGGGTTAGCACTATGGAAAAATTTGGAAAACACTACTCACAAAAATACATTCCAAATAGGTCAAAGTTCTGAAAACAAAAAGCAAGACCTTAAATATTGAAAACAAAATAGTGAAATCTGTATGTCAAAATATAGGAAATATTTTTTCAAGAAGGTTCAAAAACTACAAACCATAAAATAAAACATCAATCTGACTTCATTAAAATGAAGAAACTTCTGTGTACTAAAATAGTAAAATAAATTTTTAAAGCAAGTCATGTGCTTCTAGAATATATTTTTCGTGCAGAATACTGATAATGGTTATCCACTAAAAAAAAAAAATTTAAACATCAGCAAAAGATGTGAATAGGCAATTGATTTAGAACAGAAAAAGAGAAGTGGTCCATAATTATATGTAAATATGTTCAAATTCAGTCAGGCTGAAGCTAAAAATTAAAGAACATGACAAAGTCAAATATTGGCAAGGACTTGGGGAAGTATAAACAGAAATAGTACAAGTAGGAGTAAAAATTGACAGGCATTTTAGAGAGAGCAAATTTGGATAGCACATGCCCTACAATTCAGTACTTCCACTTGAAGTTATAAATTTCAAAAATTCCTAGACTGTTCAAGCAGATGTAAACAAAGATGTTTTACATCTTTGCATCAACTTTAGCTGTTGTTACAAATACCCATCAACAGAAGAATAGTTAAATAAAACCCACATTCTTCATAAGCTGATATGTTGCTACAAGACAGTGACTCATCATCAATAAATAGATAATGAAAATGATGTAGATGATAGATCTCAAAAACTTAAGTGCTGTGAAAGATGTGTCCTCTATTAAGTCACTTTTAAAAGCATGTCTACAGTATTTTGTCTCATTTGTGGATTTATAGATGTAGTTTTAAATCTAAAACCAAACACAACACATTCATAATCGAAGTTGCAGGGGTCAAGGACAGGAGGAATGAGCCTGGAGATAATGGTTAAAAGGTGATTTTTTGCTCTCCTTCAATGACTTGTTTCTTTAAAAGAAAAACAAAGGATAGAGAAAATCCTGACAGCAAAATATTAAAGATTGTTTACTCTGAATGGTAAAAATATGAGTGTTTGTTGAATTTTACTTACTCCACCCTCCCCCCAACCCACACACAATCAAATAGATTGTATTGCCACCACCAGTTAGAGTTCAGACTACTTGAATAGTTTTAAGCAGTGAGTAAAGATGATTTGTAATCTCAATTTGTTATTTCTATGGCCATTTAGGATATAGCACAATGATTACACCTTGGGAATGCCTGTCTCACAGGGTTTTGAGGGCAAGAACCTGGAATGAAAGAAGAGGAGTCAGACTGCTGGAGTGAGCCTGGGTCGTTGAGAAGTTCAGTTATAGTAACTGTTGCAGAGCAGCTGCCAATTTAAACAAACTACTCACCAGGCTCAGTCTGGACAGACCACTTGTGACTAGAAATGTGATCTTTTAGGGTGAATATCCTGAATGCTAGAACACAGCAGATTACTGTAGCCCCTGGTGTTCTCCTGGAGTGAGAGAAAACCTTGCCAGCTTGCCTCTGGAAGTTCTGACAGTTGGGGGCTCTGCACCTCCCCCTCCAGCCTGCACTTCTGAGCCAGGATTACCAGGCTTCCAACACTTAAGCTCTCACAGGCTGTGCTACCAATGCCCTTGGTACCTCTGTTCTTTCCACTCAGCATAGAAGGATAAAAGAGACCTGCCATACTTTCTTCCAAGTGGTGGAAAGAAAGTATACAGTGTAGTTTACCCAAGAGCATATACATATGTTTATTAGCTTGATTTAGCCATTCTACAATATATGCATATTTCAAAATAGCATGTTGTGTATAATGAATATGGACAATTTTTATAAGTTTAAAAAGATGGAAAAAAATACAATCAGCTTTGTGTTAAAAAAAGTGGGGAGGGGAGAATTCCTCACTTGAAACAACCTCATAAACAACGTAAATTTAATAATTGACAATTTTGCAATTGCAAATTGTTGTCTAAGTCACTGGTTGCAAATTTTATGTTCTCAGGAATCTTTCATTCTCTTAAAAAGTATTGAAGAGATTTTGTTTTATATGGGCTATATCTATTTATATTTACCTTGTTAGAAATCATAACGGATGGGGGAAATTAATATTTTTATTAATCTATTTTTAAAATAATAAAGCCATTATGTTAACATAAATGCTTTTTTTGAAAAATTGCTGTATTTTTCCAAAATAAATAATTAAGTGAATAAATGACATTGTTTTGGGGTTTTGCATTTCTCTTTTTTTCTTTTTATTGGTTCTTTTTAGTTATATGAGATACTACAATCCATTTTGGTATAATTACACAAGTGTGGAATATGTCTTATCTAATTAGAATCCCATTCTGTGGATGTACACAATAGTGGGATTCACTGTGGTGTATTCATATATGCACATAGGAAAATTATATCAGATTTATTCCACTGTATTTTCCCTTTTCTATACCCCCATTCTTCCCTTCATTCCCCTTTGATGAGTTTCTATCCCCCCCCCATTGTGGATTAGCTTCCACATATCAGAAAAAAAATTCAACCTTTGATTTTGGGGGACTGACTTATTTCATTTAGCATGATAGTCTCCAGATCCATCCGTTTACTGGCAAATTTTATAAAGTCATTCTTATTAATGGCTGAGTAGTACTCCATTATATATATAAACCACATTTCCTTCATCCATTCATCTGGTGAAGGACACCTAGGTTGGCTACATGGTTTAGCTATTGTGAATTGAGCTGCTATAAACATTGATGTTGCTACATCACTGTACTATGCTGATTTTAAATCCTTTGGATAAATGCCAAGAAGTAGGTAGCTGGGTCAAATGGTGTTTCAATTCCAAGTTTTCTGAGAAATCTCCATACTTCTATCCAGAGTGGTTGTACCAATTTTCAGTCTCACCAGCAATGTATGAGTGTACCTTTTCCCCCACATCCTCACCAGCATATATTGTTACTGGTATTCTTGATAATTGCCTTTCTGACTAGACTGGGTGAAATTTCAGTGTAGTTTATTTTTATTTTTTTTTTAGTTGTAGTTGTACACAATACCTTTATTTTATTTATTCATTTTTATGTGGTGCTAAGTATCGAACCCAGGCCTTCACATATGCTAGGTGAGCACTCTAATGCTGAGCCACAACCTCAGCCCCTCAGTGTAGTTTTAATTTGCATTTCTCTAATTGCTAGAGATGGTGAACATTTTTTCATATATTTGTCAACAATTCATATTTATTCTATTGAGAAGTGTCTTTTCAGTTTCTTTGCCCTATTTATTGATTTTTTTTTTTTTGGTGTTAAGTTTTTTGAGTTCTTTATATATCCTGGGAATAAACACCCTATCTGAGGTGCAGGAGGAGAAGATTTTCTCCCACTCTGTAGGCTCTCTTTTCATACTCTTGGTTTTTTCCTTTTAGTTTGATGCCATCCCATTTATTAATTATTGATTTTACTCCTTCTGCTTTGGGAGTCTTGTTAAGAAAGTCAGTTCCTAAGCTGAAATGATGGTGATTTGGGCCAACATTTTCTTCAAGTATGTGCAGTGTTTGTGGTCTAAATCTAAGTCTTTGATCTACTTTGAGTTGATATTTATGCAAGGTGAGAGAGAGGGGTTAAATTTCATTCTAATACATATGAATTTCTAGTTTTCCCAGAACCATTTGTTGAAAGAGCTATCTTTTCTCCAATGTATGTTTTTGGCACCTTTGTCTAGTATAAGGTAACTATAATTTTGTGGGTTTATTTCTGTGTCTTCTATTCTGTTCCATTGGTCTTCTTGCCTGTTTTGATGCCAGTACCATGATGTGTTTGTTACTATAGCTCTGTAGTATAATTTAAGATCTGGTATTGTGATGCCTCCTGTACCTTTTTTTGGTCACTTTTTAGAATTGTTTCTTTTGTTTTAATTTCATTGATTCTAGCTCTGATTTTAATTATTTCCTATCTTCTACTGTTTTGGCACTAGTCTTCTTTTTCTAGGGCTTTGAGATGTAATGTTAGGTCATTTATTCATTGACTTTCTATTCTTTTAATGAATGAGGTCAATGCAATGAATTTTCCTCTTACTACTGCCTTCAGAGTGTCCCAGAGATTTTGATATGTTGTATCACTATTCTCATTTACCTCAAAGTATTTTTTTTTCATCTCTGATTTCTTCTACTATACATTCATCATTATTTAGTCCCCAGGTGCTAGAGTAGCTTCTACTTTTAATTCTATCATTGATTTCTAATTTCATTCCATTATAATCTGATAAAATGCAGGATACTATCTCTATTTTTTTTTGTATTTGCCAAGAGTTGGTTTGTGACATAAGATATGGTCTCTTTTAGAGAAGGATCCATGTGCTGCTGAGAAGAAAGCAAATTCTCTCATTGATGGATGAAATAGTCTATATATGTCCACCAAGACTAAATTATGGATTGTATTATTTAGTTCTGTAGTTTCTTTGTTCAGTTTTTGTTTGGAGAATCTAGGCAGTAGTGAGAGAGATGTGTTAAAGTCTCCCAGTATTATTGTGTTGTGGTCTATTTGATTCTTGAAATTGAGAAGGGTTTTTTTGATGTACATATATACTCCATTGTTTGGGGCATAAATACTTATGATTGTTATGTCTTATTGATATATGATTCCCTTAAGTAGTACAAAATGCACTTCTTTATCCTATTTAACTTTGGCTTGAAAT